TGGGCCCCTGGGCACAGACATGTAAAGCCCCCCCTCCCTCCCACAGAGACACCCAGATTGTAAGAGACACAAAACGACAAGGAAAGAAAAAGACACAAAGTCTCTTTGTCATCAATTTGTGTCTCTTTGTAGTTCTTTTGTATCCCTTTGTAATAATTTTGCTTCTCTTTGTTATCCTTTTGCACGTCTTTGTAGTCCTTTTCAGTCTCCTTGTAGTGGCTTTGCATCTTTCAGTGGTCATTTTGCACGTCTTTGTAGTCCTTTTACATCTCTCTTTAGTTTTCTGCAATTCTTTGTGGTTGCTTTATTTAGCTTTACAGTGATTTGATTGACTTTCCAAAAGAACTGTCAACTGTCACTTCTAACGGAGGCTCTGGCACAGGGGCCCACTGACCCCTTGGGCCTGTGCCCAGTAGGTCCGTTAAGAAATCCTTCCATATGCACATGCATGATTGATTGCGTGCACCTGTAGGGCTTCATTCTGTACACACACAAACACTCACGTGTGTTTGCCACCCTGCCTCATATGTTTGCCCAGTTAGTCCTGCCCTGGTCTCTGTACTGTGTCACCTGCTGTCAAGCCTGAAGGATGGGCAAAATGAGTACTCCTATGAAAACCACAAACCCCTGCTCATTGCACCAAAAACATGCACCTTCCACCAGCAGAGCTCCAAGCCCCCTCTCCACCTTGCAGGTTTGTCCCATTCCATCCTACCACCCCACTCCACCCACCAACCAACCAACCCTCCCACCCTCCGACGCACGGAAAGGCCCTCCAGCTGAGGCACTCCCTGTAGGGCAAACACTGAGGCCCGCCGAGCACAAAAGCTGGGTAAACAGCTCCTTAGCTTTCCTCTCCGGGCCCACTCTCCGCGCAGAGGCAGAGACAAATGCAGGGAGGATCCCTGGTCTCTGCCACAGTACTATTAATAGTAGCAACCAACAAGGCAACAATGCACACAGCTGAGGTCCATGACATGCAGGAATGTACCATCAGATAATAAAGATGAGCTCAATAACAAGAAAATCTAATATTTGTTACTTGTTGAGATCCAAGATGAGCGAGGGATAGCAAAATAAAACATTGTTTCCCTAACATTACCAAAAACAAGCCTGTTTTACTCTTTAAACCCACATTACCACACACATCAAACTGATTTGGCAGCCAAATCCTCCTCTTTAAAAGATCAGACAGTAACCTCCAGAGTAAAAAATGTCCCTGATAAAATGAAGCACTGTGTAAACTCTAAGGCAGCAGGTTGGTGGCAGAGTTTTCGGCAGGGGGCACCACACTGCTACCAGGGCCACACATTTACAAAGTGTGTGTGCTTACCAGAAGTGTGTCTACATCATCCATCACTGCGGGCAATGGTGATGGACTTGTTTGGCATTGTAAGAGGGATTTGCAGCATGACACTGTTTGTACACCCACAGTTAAACCCCATGCAAGCACAACATACACATATCCTCAAAACACACACACACACACACACACACAGGCAAGCTGCAGGAACATAACGGCTGTTGTGGAATTTTTCATTTCCTTGTAAGAATATAAAACTGTATTTATAAGAAAAAGACAAAGATTTGGGGATTTTTATCATTTGTTTGGGTCCAGAACGTGCTGATGGTAGGGATGTGCATTGTGCACAGCTTTTTCATGGATGGGGAAAGGGTGGGAGATTTGGACTTTGGATGGTGATGCTGAAGGGAGAGAAAGAGAGAGAGAAAGGAGAGTGGCTGTTCCAGATGTGAAGGACATTTAAAGGGTATTTCCTCCAAGGTTTGTCTGGTGTCTTGCGGAGGTCACTGCCCTCACTGCTTGTCCTTCCTCTCTGTCTCTTCTGTGTTCTCTTCATCCAAAAGGTGCCTTTCTGTCTTGGGCCTGTTCCAACTTTAAAAGTTTGTTTTCACTTTTCAAGTGGAAACTCCCTCATCCAGCACACTGTCCAAAGCCCTCAGGCTAACTCTGTGAAACAAAGCCAAATCTGTGGGACAAAGTCGTACTGTAGCTGGAAGAACAAAACAGTGAACTCCATAACAACGCGTTTCCACATTAACGCAAACAAGCAAATGCAGCGCAGATAAATCTGAAGTAATGAACATTTTATCAGAGCATTTCAAAGCTGCATTCCTGCAGGCGTCCTCCAGATTTCTTGTATCACTGTTTATATAAACAAATCATAAAGCAAAGTGTCAGCATATGGCTTGATTAGAGGCATTATTATGTGGATGGATGGAGGGTGAGCAGAGTACACAACATGGAAACTACAACTGTGTGCACTGGTGAAACTTACATTATGTCACTCTGGCCTCAGTCTTATCTCAAGGAAGTACAGCTGAAATGAAAAGTTGAATGATCAAACATTAATCAGGGACAGTTTTGATAATCAATTAATCATTCAAGTAATTTATTAAGCAACAAGACTGAGAGTGTACATCCAAAGTAGCTCTGTGAGGTTGTCCTGAGGCATTACAGTGCTTTGAGCCAAATGCTAACATGCTGACAATGACCGTACTAACGTTTGCTAGCTAAGAAAAACACAAAGTACAGAATAAGCTGATGAAAATGTCATTAGTTTTGGACCAGTTACAATTTTGACCTGATGGTGGCACTAGATGAAAAGTGAAGGCATGACCAAAGTCATTAGGATTCATTATCTGGGGACCATGAATGTCTGTATAAAAGTTTGTGGCAATTCATCTAATATTTAAGATATTTCAGTCTGGACCCCTGTCACTGTCAACTGTAGATCCCCTGAGCCTGTTTTACATCAATCTGAATTTAGTATTTTTAGTGAGAATTAAAGTTTGTCCTTGATCATTAGTCATACCACACGATCTTCATCACAAGTTTGTCCAGTCGTCATGGAAATGTAGATTTGAAAGACATTTTAAATTTAATCGCTGAAAAATTATCTCACCACAAGTGTCACCATTTAGTCAGACTCCATCTGCTCATAAAGATCAAGTGATATGACCCAAAAGCTCCAGAACAACTGCTACCAAAAGGTCAATTTGACTGCCAACATGATTCTCTGAAAAGGATGGAAACAGACACACTTTCATGAAAACAGGGAAAGCTCCTTCTGTTGCCTGGTTTTAATGATCTGAGTCGACCACAGGAAGACTAACTGATGTTCATGTACATCAGCTAATGGGGATCCTAATAAAATAAAATCAAAATCATGTGATATGACTGAAAGAAAAACAGTTACTAAATGCAGCCTGTGGTGATAATATTTCTTATTTTATTTTTTTGTGTTTTGGACCGTTGGATTAGACAAATTTTCTGACATTTTTTGGACTAAATCGACTGATTGCAGATCAGTCTATGATGAATAAATGGTTGGATACAAACAAAAGATGGTATTAGCATGAATAAACACAATATTGTCAGATTCATTCAGGGCTCCAACAATGATGACATTTATTTATGTAATGCCAAAGTAGTATAAAAATGTATTCGTGCTTCCTCCTTATACTTCATCCTAAAGGCCTTGTAGCTGACTATGCAGCAGGACAATCAAACATTTAAAACAATGTCTTGCCATGTTTTAACAATCCAATGTCACCTTTGAAATGTTTTGTACCCTTCTGAAATTATATTAATCTACATTCACTAGAAATTATGATGGCGCACTAGTTTAGATGCGGACATGACGAGAATAAACCCTCAGTCCCCTTCAGTGACACGACAGCCCTGTAGGTGTGTCACATCCAGAGACAAAGGTAAACTGACAGTATGTGGGACACAGAATGTTGTTTTTCCCTCATCTCAGCTGACCCGACATTAAGTAAACAGAGGGGGGAAAACGGTGTCTGAATGGGTGTTTTCTCTCCCCATTCCAACTCTTTTTACGAGGAGTTTAAATTTCAGGCCCGGGGGTCGTGGCCCCTCCGTTCCAATCCTACTGAGAGGAGGTGGGGCAGGGGAACCTGTCGCCGAGAATAAAAGGCCCGTCAGCTGAAGAGGTGCAGGCGTGCTCATACCCCTGTCTGCCGGACCAACAGGAACGACCGCCTTCAGCCGGCCGGCCAGCCAGCTGCCTCGGGGAGATCCCAGGTGGCAAATATCCTCCCTGCTGCGGGGAGGGAGCATTCAATCCCACCCTGTGTAGGTCAGGAAATCTGTTGAGTCAAGAGTAGCCGGAGTGAGGAGGTTTTGGTGACCGGTGAGGCGTGACTTGTAGGGGCCCAAAGTTTCTGGCACCCCATTAACGTCAGGATGGGACAGTCCAGCGGCGCTTTAAGGGTCCCTCAGCGTCTTGTCCTCTTTCACCTCACACCAATACTGACTTACAGCAGCCACAGCTGGACGGCCTGCTCTCGCTCGTTCTCAGCAACGCTCCTCTGGTTTACGGTGATGCTGCAGTGCGTGAAAGTGAGTTTCATGGCTGCAGCTGAATTCTCTGTGTGTTTGTTGCGTGTGTGTGTGTGTGTGTGTGTGTGTGTGAGCGCAACAGGTCTCGAATGGGTCCCTCACGGCCATAGCAATGAAACAAGATCTGCCACAGAGTTGAGCAGGTGAAGAGAAAGAAATACACGGTGCAGAGATGGGAACAGACAGCATCGTAGAAAGACTGGGGGAAGGAGAGAAGAGGTGAGGGAGAAAAGTGAGAGGGACAGAGTGGGACAGACATAAACACACAAGAGAAGAGAAGAGTACATTAGGGAGGAAGTCTGGTGGATGGAGGCTTGAAAAATGATTTCCTCTGGCTCTGCAGGTAGGAGATACAGAGTACAGAGCAGCAGAGGAAATCCCCTTTCTCCACACTCCTCCATTGCATCCCTCCTTCATCTTTACTGTGAGCTTCCTGCAGTTTATAACCTCTACACACACTAAGTGACTCACAGACAATATAATACTTGATGTATGCGGCATAACATGAGGCCCCCTCATCTATAAGCATAGACTGTGGCTGTGAAGGCTACACTGTACTCTAAAAAAAGCCATCTGTAAAGACATTTAGGCCACCCGCTGTCACATTTTTTTTTTTTAAGGAGAAAAAGTACAGTCTCTTGAGATAAAACAGAAAGTAGACTAAATACATCAAAAATATTTACTATATATACTGAAAATTCACAGTGTACAGAAATATGTATATACAAAAAGACAAATACAAAAACAAACAAAGAAAACACTGTTTTGCTGTTTGGGGAAAAAATATCCAGTTGCTCCACAGAAGCAGTCAAAAGATGCAAACAACATGCACAGGCAAATATCCATTACAAACGTATTTATTGAGTTGCAGAAAGCCATTTAGGACTGTATATAAAAAAAAAAAACGTAACACTTTTGATCACGTTGACTTCCCACTGATGGTGAAATAAAGAGATTCATAAATATGATAAATGATAAAAGCGAATACATTCGGCTTTAATAGGAAGAGATTATCAGAAGAGGCAATTTGGGTCCAATCCATTTAAACTCCACCACCATTTGTAAAAATTCAAAACCTAGAAGAAGAAAAAAAGGAAAAAAAGAAAAGAAAAAGCTCTCATTCCAACTATGGATCTGTTTAGTCTCAAAGCTTTAAAGACCATACTGGTGGTTTGGTGTGTTTTACTTTAGCCTGTTGACTGCAGAGTGCACATATTTACATTATTAATGACCCTATTCCAAAATATACAAGAAGATTTTGATTGTTTTTCCGACTTTCAAGCAGCTGCTGGTTTCAAATGATGTCAGTACACTATGACAATCTTCCTTCAAAACCTGTTATACAAAATCTGACCCATTACAATGATATGGTCTTAGCAGCAGAGAGCAAGATATGCTGACTTTTAATCTCTAGCGTTGTTCAAATAAAAAAAAGATTTTATATTTTGTGAGACTTATGAAAGCTCCTCCAGAGCCACAGAAGACATTATCTTCATTATGAGTTGTACTCCTCGTGACAAGTAACCTGAACTTCTTTTGTAAAATTGGTGAAGTGCAACTTTAATTGTGAGCTGCCAAAAACCATAGTATTAACTAGCAATATTGCAGTCAAATCAGCAACCATGGACAAAGAAATAATAGTGTTTCTGTTAAGCAGCCAACACTTAAACTACACTT